TCCAGGCTGGTCTGCTTGTCCTTGCTAGTGGGAATGTCCCACCTCATAAGGTCCTGGATGGGACTCAGGATTCCACCTAAGATCCTATAATTTACAAAGATGTTGCAAGAGGCCTATTTCACTAGGCAAGTACTAGAAGCCCTTTTAGGTATTCCAATCATTATAGGCGGAAGACGGGCTTACAAGTTTTCTCGAATCATGTTTCCTAACATTCCTTTCTATGCCACTCAAGTGTCTATTTTACAACAGTAGTCAAGGGAAATAAATATTCATAAGACAGTCAAGTGTTTTAGTATTATTTCCCCTCTTCAAACTATGCCTAAATCTCTGTATCACAGAGCCCTGTTGTTCCAAGGTTGAGCATGCATCACTATTTACCTCTGTCCCACTTAGGACATGCAAACCTGTCTCAATGTTCCTCTATTTATCTTGTTTTTCCACCTCCTCCCCATTCTTGTATTGCCCCTACCAACACTCGAACTAAACTTCCCATGCCAACCCCATTGTTGTGGTTACCTTATATTCCATTAACTCTTCTCTCCATTTAAGAGAGTCTATTTTATCCTGCAATCTACCTGAACTTCTCACCACCTTGATCTCTGTTCCTCTGTGTTTACCTTCTGTCACGTTGTAACTGTTTTGGTCATAGACTAACCTCCCAGATCCTCTCTTCTTATCATTTTATTCTGTTCTTGACTCTTCCAGTTGTCAATTGAGTTCAGGATGCTGCTGCCATGTATGTTATTCTCTGGTTATTGTCTGTTCTTGTTGGTTCTCATGCTACAGAACTTCCTTTAGGGTGTTTTTCATAGCAGAGTTGGCTTTGGCAAAATCTCTTAGTTTCTGTTTATCCTGGAATGTTTTGATTACACCATCATGTATGATTGACAGCTTTGCTGGGTAGATGATTATTAGTTGGCAGTTGTTTTTCTTTCAGGGTTTTATATATGTCTCCCCATTGACTTCTTGTCTGCATGGTTTATGTTGAGAAATCTGAGCTTAATCTGATTTGCTTGCCTTTGTATGTAATACTTCTCTTTTCCCTAGCTGCTTTCAGTATTCTGTTCTTATCTTTGATTTTTGAAAGCTTGATTATTAGATGTCTTGGTGATTGTCTTTTAGGGTCTATCCTTCCTGGGGTACATTGAGCTTCTTGAATGCTTATCTTTTCAGTTTTCAGGATGTTAGGAAAATTTTCTTCCAGAAACTCTTCAACTATCTCCTCTGTGGATTTGTGTGATTCTTCCTGTTCTGGAATGCTAATAATTCTTAAGTTATTCTTCTTCATGTTGACCAACATATATCTTAGGCCTTCTTCAGATTTTTTAAATCCTTTTTTGTGCTTGCTCTTTTATCTTAGTAATATTGAAATATTTATCTTCTAGCTCATTAGTTCTGGCTTTTATCTGTTCTATTGTATTCATTTGCCCTTTCAGTGTATTGTCCATTTCTGATATTCTATTATTAATCGTTTGGACCTCTTTCTGTAGGTTCTTAATTGTTTCCAATGCTGTATCTATCTTATTTGATTGTTCCTGTAACATTTTCCTGACATCTTTCTTATTTTTCTCAACTCCATTGTATAGTGTTTGGATACATTTTATAATCATTTTTCTGAATTTCTTCTCAGGCATTTCCAAGGTCTGCCCATCTTCCAGTATGGAGTTTGGGTCTACTTCCAGCTCTTTTGCTTCATTCACTTTTTCTCATTTCTGGATATGTACAGATATGGTCATCTGTTTCTACTTTTTGGGCATATTTAGAAGTTATCTGCAGCCTTATTGCTTAGATAGGTGTGTGTTTTGGTACTTTTTATATTTTCTGATTGCCTTCAGGTAGATGTAATCAGGAGATAGGCTTTCCTTTTCACTCTTCTTCCTAAGAAATTTCAAGATGCCATTGTTGGTCATTAAACTCAGGATTTAATTTTTGGCCTATTTCCTTTTTAATCTGCCTGTCCTGCTCCACAATCCCTGTTCAGGCCTGTTTCCTAATGATAAGCGGTTGTGGGCTGGCTGTATCTGTTTTGTGCTGCCATTTGGTTTTAAGTAGAAACTATCACTTTAAATTTTGAGGAGATCTGTGCACATGCATAGTAGCACCCTCCAGGGTTGAGGGTGGAGTGTCCACTCACTCATGCACTCCTTCTAGTCACCAGAATAGAGGTGTGCAGATAGCGAGAGACCAATGAACAGGTTCCCTACCCCCGAAAGAAGAATGTCAACACCTTTATGTCTACATTTTTGTCAGGCATCTGTGGCTGCTCTCATCCTTCCCTGACTTGGTTCACCCAAGATGGTGGCTCCGGGAGCAGCTGAGCATCTTGAATTAGAAAGCAATGGATTTCTTTCTTCTGTTACAAATTCCCCTAGCTGTAAGCCTTCCAACCTTCTAAATATTCCTTTATATGTGGCTCAGAGTTCTGGGACCGTCTCCTGAGCCTACATGGTCCGATATTCTGTATTGTTGCTGGTGGAGCTCCTTACTGCACTTCCACTCAATCTGCCATCTTGTTTGTTCTCCCCTTCTTTTTACCTCTTGTAAGATAAAATATGTTGTTGTTGTTAAATGCCATTGAGTTGTTCCATCTCATAGTGTTCCTGTATAGGGTTTCTGAGGCTTAAAAAAAAAAAAAAATCTATGCAGGAATAGAAAGTCTTATCTTTCTCCCATGGAGTGCGTGGTGGGCTCGAACTGCCAACCTTGTGCTTCACAGTCCAGTGCTTATCCACCAAGCTCTTTAAGATCAAATATAATGCAGACCAAACCCCAAGGAAACTTGAATTACATCAGATCAGCACTGTGATTTGAGCAAAAGTATTGCATCCTGTCCCTAATCCCCTTACAACTGATAGGCCGGTCTCATCATTGGAGATGATTACATCATTACACAACTAACAAATTACATTATTGCATAATTGCCAAACCATTGAGAATCACAGCCTAGAAAGTTGAAACATTATTGGGGGATACAATTTAATCTATTATAATAGTGCATTTCAGTTGGTTCTGATTTATAGTACAACAGAATGAAACAATGCCTGGTCCCATACCATCCTCACAAACACTGTTAGGTGGTAGCGGTAGCGGTAGCCCATAGTTGCAGCCACTGTGCCAATCCTTCTCATTGAGGATCTTCCTCTTTTTTGCTGACCCCTCTGCTATGATGTACTTTTCCAGGGGCTGGTCTCTTCTGATAGCATGTCTAAAATACATGAGAATAAACTGCTCCATACTCACTTTTAAGGAGTATTCTGGCTATACTTCCTGCAAGACAATTTATTTATCCTTCTGATAGTCCATGGTATATTCAGTATTGTTTGCCAATATCTTCAGGTTTTCATTATTCATTGTTCAGGTTTCATGTGCATATGAGGTGGTTGAAAATGTCACTGTTTGGGTCAGGGGCACTTTAACCCTCAAAGTGACATCTTTTCTTTTTATCACTTTAAGGAGGTCTTTTGCAACAGATTTGCCCAATGCAATACATAATTTGATTTCTTTGATGCTTTTTCCATGAGTTTTGATTGTGGATCCAAATAAAATGAAACCACTGACAACTTTAGTCTTTTCTCTATTTAACGTGATATTGCTTATTGGTCCACTTGTGAGGATTTTTGTTTTCTTTATGTTGAGGTGTAATCCATGCTGACAGTTGTAGTCTTTGATCAGTCATCAGTAAGTACTCCATGTTGTCTTCACTTGCAGTAACCTAGTTTGTGTCATCATATATCACCAGTTGATAGTGAGTCTTCCTCCAATCTTGATGCTGTGTTTTTCATATAGTTCAGCTTCTCTGATTACTTGCTTAACACACAAATTGAGTAAGTATGGTGAAAGGATATAAACTTTCACCTTTCCTTTGACTTTTCCTTTCACTGTTGACACACACCTTTCCTGGTTTTAAACGAAGCAGTGTCCCCTTGTTGTTTTAGAATGACTGTCTCTTGATTTATTTATATACAGCCTTGGAAACCCTATGGGGCAGTTCTGTTTTGTCCTGAAGGGTCATTATAAATTGACTTGATGTCACACAATTGTAAAAACATATAATTTGTTTTTTTTCTGAATGTCAATTTTATCAGCAATACTGACATAATTTATTCTCCTATTGTCTTCTAGGAAAGTGCTGTGAACGGTGTTACTTGCATTCGGACGTATGTGAAAGTTGACACAAATCCAGTCTCAAGTGCTTAAGTACTTTCTCAAGGTATGATCTAAAATGCTGAAGCTGATTAAATAAAACTTAAAAGTAAAACATTCTGACTGTTAATATTTGAGATCCTTTGCACAAGCATCAGCCGTTTTTGTTGCCATGTGAAATATGCCTATATCATACAGTAGGGTGGTGTTGGTTGTAAAGAGAAGCCAGGATAATATACCCTGCCCAATGAAGAGCTGGTAAAATATTCAGAGAGAAACTCCTTTGATTTTTTTCACCAGCAATATTCTGCCAGTCCTTTAAGTTCACTATAGTAGAAAGTAGAAATCTCTTAAACCCAATCCATCAATGGTGGTGGTAGTGATGGTCATTATGGGCCATGGAGTCTGTTCCGACTCATAGCGACCTTGTATATCTTTACACCCAAGGCTTAAATCTTTATGGGAGCAGAAAGTCTCATCTTTCTCCCATAGGACCACTGGTAGTTTTGAACTGCTGACCTTGAGCTTAGCAGCCTGACTCAGAAATACTGTTAAATCTACCTTAGAAATATATGCCATTCTTACTGCTCAACATCTCCACAGTAAGACATGCCTGGAATTGTGATATAATTTTATAATTGATATATTTACTTATGACCTTCTGAACCCAGTCTTTCCTCAAGTTTAAATCCCTTTCTGGGGGCAGAAGGTGATGGGGTATCGAGGGTGAAAAGAAAGTGACAGCTACCACCCAATCACTGACTTTTGTGAGATACAAACATTTGAGGAGAACATCACAACTGCTAAGACTTCAGAAGCCTACACTCATGGCAGGTGGAAGGATTTGTCTCTGTTCCAAAGAGGAGATAAGACTGCAGCGACCACTCCACTGGATGATCTATGGCAATGTACAAATATATCCTGATTTAAACAAATCCCCGGTGTGAAAATCTGTTTAAAAAGAAAACTCATAATGGTCTTTCTTTGTGTTTAGTAGAAGAGAATTCCTTTAAATTCTTACTACATTAAAAGTGTGAAATGAATATAATCATAAACTATCTTAAAACAAAAAATTGTCCTACTTGATAAATAAACTCTAACAGAACAGGAATTTTGTTACTGTTTTTAGTTCATCCTGCGTATTTAGAACAATGCCTGATATACCTAGAAAAAACCCAAACCAAGTCCATTGCCAGTTGATTTGGATTTTGACTTTTAGCAATCCTAGAGTTCAGAGTAGAACTGCCCCGGAGGGCTTCCAAGGATGTAAATCTTTATGGAAGTAAACTCTCACACCTTTTCCTGCAGAGCAGCTTATGGGTTCAAACTGCCAAACTTTTGATTAGAAGCTGACCACTTAACTGCTCTACCACCACCAGAGGTGCTGATAAACCTGGAAGTGCTCAGTAAATAGTGAACGAACAAATCAGTGAAAGAATTGGTCTTGATTAAAAATGAACTTGAAGTGTTGAATTGCTAACTGAAGGGTTGTTGTTTGAACTCACCAGCTGCTCTGTGGGAGAAAGATGAAGCAGTTTGCTTCCATAAGATTTACTTCATTCTACGTTGTTGTTTAGTTCCATGCAGCAGGGTCTGATTCATAGCGACCCTGTTAGGGTTTCCCAGGAGCAACTGGTGGGTTTAAACCACCAACCTTGCAGTCAGCAATCCAGTGCTTATTCTATGTTTGTCCTATTTTGTTGTTGTTAAGTGCCGTCAAGTCAGTTCTGACTCACAGTGACCTTACATAGTTTCTAAGGAGCAGCTGGTGGGTTTGAACTGCTGACCTTGTGGTTTGAAGTCCAGTGCTGATCTTATAGCACCGCACCAGGAGTCCTACCTTGTCCTATGTTGTTGTTGTTAAGTGCTTTTGAGTTGATTCTGACCCCTAGCAACCCTATGGGTATACGGTTTCCAAGGAGCCGCTGGTGAGCTTTAACTGCTGACCTTGTGATTCAAACCAACTTTGCAGTCCAGCACATTAGCCCACAGTGCCACACCAGGACTCCACTTTGTCCTATAGGGTCCGTGTAAGTTGGAATCAACACAATGGCAGTGGGTTTGGTTTTGAGTTTCTAAACATGAACTAGTATTTCTTATTGTTTCCCTCAAGGTGGAGCTGTGCACAGTGTAAAGTGTCTCTTAAGAAATGTGTTTATTTTTTAACATAGCTTTGATAGCTGATCAATTTTCTCTCATTATGTAAATCTTTTTCTTCCTTTTACAGTTCTCATTTTCTGATTTCCCAATCTTTTAGATCCATGTTCTTTACTAAAACAGGCTTACAAATTCTCAGCTATGTTAGCTTTCTCGTCTTTCCCCCAACTTATTTGTCTAAGTTTGTTAGCTGCTCTTAAGTTAACCTCAACTCCTGGGGATTCTGTGCACAACAAAATGGAACTTTACCCAAAATGGAATGGTACCATCCCCATGATTGGTTGTAATCCAGAGGATTTTCACTGACTGACTCTCAGAAATAGATTGCCAGGTCTTTCTTCCTAGTCCAGCTTAGTTTGGAAGCATCATTGGAACTGTTCAGTATCATAGAAACACACAAGCCTCCACTGACAGGTGGGTAGTGATTACAGTTGAGATGCATTGGCTAGAAATCAACCCAGGTCTCCCACATGGAAGTAAGAATTCTACCCTTGAACCACCAAACCCACTGCCACCTAGTCAGTTCCAACTCATAGTGACCTATAGGAGAGTGTAGACCAGCCCCAGAGGTTCCAAGGCTGATATTGTTAAAGAAGGAGAGTGCAGCATCTTTTTTCTGAAGAGAAGCTGGTGGATTCCAGCTGCTGATCTATAGGTTAGCAGCCAAGTGCTTTAATCACTGTGCCAACAGGGTTTCTTACTAGCATACCACTGTCTGCTCCCTCCCTAATTATTTTTAGTAGACCCTCCTTTCAACACTTCCCTTAAAGATACTATATGCATATGTTGTCGTTTTGGAAAAACCTGAGTATTTAGGAAAAACCAAACACACTTCATTTCCATCTGCTGTTTGTTAAGTGCCACTGACAATACCTATTATTCATTATAGAAGGATTTATTTGACAGATTTTGATACATTTAGTGTTCAATTGTCTACTTATCTGTTTCTTGTTTTTTATTTTTTTCTAGATCTTTATTTTGCAGAATTTTCTAGGTTCAAATTTCAAACTGACAAATAATTTTATTGTGATACAATTGACATAGAATAAATTTCATATGTTTAAAGTATACAATTCAGTATACTTTCTATCTAAGAAACTATCATCACAGTAAAGATAATGAGTGTATTCATTATCCCCAAATGCTTCCTTGTGCCCCTTTGGAGTCCTTCTACACTCTAACAGAATAATTACTGACATTTATTTTTATCATGTAATGAAAATTTTGCTTAAACGTTTTACATGGACGATTTCATTTTATACTCATAACACACCTATAAGGTAAATAATATAAAGTCTACATTTTACAGTTGAGGAAACTATGTTGTAGACAAGTTAAGAATTTGTTTAAAGTTATATAGTTAATAAGTGTTGGGACCTGTTCTAAACACCAGTGTTTAATTCCAGATACTATATTAATTTAAATTTTGCCACCTGGGTATTTAATTTCTGGTAGCATGGGTTATAGGAGATAACTGAATAAAAGGAATTCCAGGTAATTTTTCAGGTAATTTAAAACAGAGTATTAAATTAGAAATGGGCATTTATTTTCTAGAATAGTGGCTATGAATAATTTTGAGGCAGAAAAGATTATAATATGTTTTCAGACTCACTTGATTTATAATTTCTATTTATATTCTGTTTCCTAAATATTGTGATTTGATTGTTTTTCTTTAGGAAGTCCATGTGCTATAATTCTACTGTCCTAGTTTATTCTTGGCCTTAGCCCTTTGCAATGTTTCTATAGTTAAGTATTTTGCTTTTTCCTGACCTCTCAATACAATTTATTCCTTCTACATATTGTAATGCTGTTGTGAAGCATCATCAAGTCAATTTTAACTGATAGCGACCTAATATAGGGTTTCCAAGGAGCGGCTGGTGAGTTTGAATCACTGAGCTTGTGGTTCAAACTGAACTTGCAGCCCTGCACTTATCCTACAGTGCCATACCAGAACTCCTTTTGCATAGATTTTTGTTAATTAGGAAAATTGGACAGAATTCTTAAAAAATGGAAATACTATAAATCTTCTATTTATTTACATTAGTATTTCCCAACTATGGCCTCCTGTTAAAAATCAGAACCTCTGCAGGTGCTGAGAAGTAGACTGGAGACTAAGAATCTGCATTTTCAAAAGGGTGAGCTATCCAGATAGATACACATAATCAGTTTTATTGATTAGAAATCATTAGAAATTATTAATGCCTGGTTGCTTTTATAAAATTTTAGTGTTGGAGGCGGCCTTGGGAATTCTCTAGTCCTTCTTAATTTCTTTAATCTAAGATGACAGCTCAATTTTCCAAATTCTCTCAATGTAAAAGGTAGAAGTAAAACTAAAACCTGATGAACTTGTTTCCAGTGTTATTTACGATACATTCTGCTTTACTTGTCAATTTAATTTTTTGATGTCAGTTCTTATTAAAAATCACTGAAGTAAAAGGGCAAAAAATATTTTTAATGCATTATTTTTTATTCTTCCTGGAGTAAGAACTGTAGTTAGGTGCCGTGAAGTAGGTTTTGACTCAGTGCGACCCTATTATGACAGAAGAAACATGCCGGGTCCTGAGCTATCCTCACCGTCTTTGCTGTTTTTGAAGCCACTGTGCCAATCCATCTCATTGAGAGTCTTCCTTTTTTTGGCTGACCTTATACTTTATCAAGCATGATGTCCTTCTCCAAAGACTGGTCTCTCCTCCGGATAACATATCTAAAGTACATGAGACAAAGTCTAGCCATCCTCAGTTCTAAGGCGCATTCTAGCTATACTTCTTTTATGAGATATTGGTTTGTTCTTCTAGAAGTTCATGGTATATTCAATATGCTTTGCAAAAGAAATGTAAAAGAATCAATTCTTCGATCTTCTTTATTCCTTGTTCAGCTTTCAAATGTGAATGGAGTGA